CCCCCCGTTCCTCTGGACCTTCCATGTCTCTAAAGTTACTTAGCTGCTCCTCATGTCACGAATGCAGGACGTTCTCTTCTATCCTTCTATGAATGTCCTTGCTCGAGCCTTTCCTACTATTTGGAATATCCATTCCTTGCCTTTTTTCCACTTAGTAGTAGACACCAGTTCATCCTGTAACACTTAGTACCTTTGAAAAACAACTTTCCCAACCTACACTAAAAGACTTTATACCTTTTTTTGTGTTCTCATAGCACTTATGGGACCCAGTGTTTCAGCACTTGTTTTGTCTGTATACTTCAAAAAGTACGTGGAAAGATTCACATTATCTTTTAAGTCTATTTTTTCCATGAAATTTTTGAAGTCCATTGGTACATATTTAGCTCTAGTACTAGACCAGCAGCTTCTTGAGAGGGAGGCTGGCGGACCGATTTTCAATAAAGTTTTTTTGTTTGTTTTTTTAATTCAGTAGGTCATATATATTCTATATTTCTGAAAATATTCAGGGCAATAGTTTTGATTTTGCAAGAATGTATCTTCACATACATTCTCAGTAAGTGAATTGATATGATTGAATTAATAGTAAAGAATATATTTTAATAAAAGTTTAGAACTTGTATTCTTTCTGTGACTTACAATTGTGATATAGATGTAGCCACCCTTTCTGTTTAAAAAATCTGTTTCAAAGATTACGTTTTATAGTAGGGAAGCTAACTTACAGAGTTGATCCAAATATATGGTGCCAAAATTCTGAACTATTATCACAAAGCAAAAGTGAGAAAAGGTAATCATTTTGCCCTAGAAACATCAGCCTCTGCCTTTGCTTGGTTGTTCCATGGCTTTGCTATAGGAAACTTCTCTCTGAGCAGGTCACTGTGTCTGGTGGGTTGATTTACGTATAGTTTTTAAAGACCCTTTTTCACCATGAAATAGCACGCAGCTGCCATGTGAAAAACCAAACTCATGTTGAACCTCGTTTCTTGCATTCATTTAAGATTCTACAAAAGGTTTCATAGCCACTAGCCCCTCATTTTATTCCTGGAGCGAGCACTTGAAGTGTTTCCTCAGGCTTAGAGAAGTTTTGTTGTTTTGCCAAATACGTGTTTTTCTCCTTAATTTCATTCATATCTCTTATAAAAACACAATAATAAAGCAAACATGTTTAAGACCTCATGATTACTTAAAAATTTATCCTTCTGATCAGTAGAGTATTTTATTTCAAATTCTTCTAGGCAAGGCAGTAAAATCTTTTGAAATGAAAAATTCTGCTTTTTGGAGGATTATTCCCTAACTTAATTCAGGCAAAATTAAGGTCTTTAGAATATACTTGGTCACTTTTATCATTTATCTTGTGATCATGTCTCATATGAATAAAGAGGTTCGGGGCCAGTAAATAAGTCATTTTGTGACCTTCGTAGTTGTACCTAAAACTGATCTTTCCAGATTGCTCTGATCTTCTGTACAGAGCAGAATATCATGCTCATATTCTGAAGTCTATATCTTGAAATTCCTTCTTTGTCCACAAATTGCTATGGACAAAACTCTTACTTTCTGTTGTGTGGGTACAACTGAATTAATTACCTTGATTTTCTATAGATAGTAAATATTTCAAAAGTGAGAGCCATGTTTTTAACCTCTATTTTACTCATTTAACAAATTGCTTTAGCGCTTATCATGAAGTAGACCCTTGTCCCCAGGTCTGGAGTCAGGGCACAGTACAGCAGGTACTGTGAGTAAGAGAGAAACCGACCCTGCCTTTGTGTTTGTGTCCCAGTCTCTTTGCTCTGTGCTTTGAGCATATTATAGAATAAGTACTGAATATTTTTATCTCCTGAAGTAAATAATGATTTTTGTCCTGTACTTATAACAATTTTTCTGTGCTTATTTCTATGCTTAGAAGAATTTCTCTGTTCTTTCTATGCTTATGCTTTTTCATGCTGATAGGGGCTATAAAGAAAACTAGAGTTGACACACACACTCTCCAATAAATCTAAGAATAACAGCAAAGTGAAGTGCGTGTTTGATTTGGCTGAAAGATTTTCTAAGTCATCTTTCTTGTTAGGGCTTTACATTTTACATTATTTGTTAAAGCCATTTGCTTGGTGCATTTCTCTAGAAAATATTTATGTATTGTTAAGTTTCAAATTGGCAAGTTGAAAAGGGTGGAGAGAATCTGTACCCCATCTTCCAGGTAATCTGGAAAAGGTCAAAGGAGGAGAGCCATGGCAACATACATTTAAATGGATCAGTGCATGAATTACAGAACCATGGAAGAGACTGACACTGGATTCAGCTCTGTACACCAAGGATCATCTGAAAAGATTAGTGGGATCAGGTGGATTAGAGACTATTTAGGTAAACTATAATGTAGTCCAAATGTGAGCAAAGCAAAGATGGATACAAATTCTAAGAGATGGGAACAGAGCATTTTTTCTTGGAAATCATGTATTTTTACCTAATGGAAATATGTTGATTAATAAAGGCACCTTTTAAATAGGTTCAGTGGCCGGCCCGGTGGCGCACTGCTACAGTGCGCTGCTAGGGAAGCACGGCGGCGCTCCCACCGAGGGTTCGGATCCCACATACAGACCAGTTCCCGCTCACTGGCTGAGCGAGGTGCGGGCGCAGCACCGAGGGTTGCGATCCCGTTGCCGGTCCCGGTCCGGTACGGGCGCAACACTGAGGGTTGCGATCCATTGCCGGACACGAAAAAAAGACAAAAAGGGAAAAATAAATAAATAAAAATAAATAAATAAATAAATAAATAGGTTCAGTGACTTTTCAAATGAAATAATGAATGTGAAAATGTAAATAAATAAATAAAAATAAATAAATAAATAAATAGGTTCAGTGACTTTTCAAATGAAATAATGAATGTGAAAATGCTTTATTGATTCTAAAGAACCATGGGATATAATTTAGTGTTATTTGGCTTTTCAGATTATATCTTACTGTGTGTAATGTGTTGTGGTTTTGCCTAATTCATAATACAGATATAATTGTTTAGTTCAGTGAAAGATATTCCTTGAATACTATGCTGGGTGCTACAGATATTAACTGGAAAGAAAGAAGATCCTTCCCCTCAAGGAATTTGGGAAAGACGTGTCTTTACTTTTCCTAGAAATAACTTGGGAAAGCAGGTGGTTGAGTAGGAGCAAAGGCTTTGGAGTTGGAGCCTTGAACCCATGCCTCCGTTCCTATGTCTCTAGAATGGGGCTCATAATGCCTTCTTTTTGATTAGGCTTAAATTGAATAGATGTATTTTTAAAACCTTAGTTCCTTCTTCCCCTTTGAGAAGGAAAGAAGTTGGACTTTGTAATTAAACAGACCTAGATTTGAATCCAGTCTGTGTGAACTTATTCCTTGAGTCACTTTCTTCATTTATAAAATGTGGTGATAACAGTTCTAATGTCAGAGTTGTGATGCCCAGATGAAACAATGCATGCTGAGCACCCCGCACACAGTCGTGGATGCAGGAAACACAAATTGAATGTGAATTTCTTCTTTCCTTTTTTTTAAAATTTTTTTTTACTCTGCCCACTTCGAGTGGGAATTTCCAGTGGAACAAAGGTTAAGGCTTTTATGAAAGACCCAGTTGTCTTTAGTTAAGTTATACCCCGCAGGAATCACAATAGGACCTGAGAGACTCAAATGCTAGAGCCAGATACCCAGTGAAACATGAGAATGGCCTTGAAATTGTTAAATGACTTTTCATTTTTGCCAGAAAACTATGTATGAAATAACCATACCATTAGGATGACTCTACTAATAAAAGTTTGTGTCTGCCTGTAACAGCACTATAATAAAGCTTTATCAAGTTGCCTGAGTTCCCTATAATTTAAACTTTTGCCCATGTGACTTGCCGCTGTGATGTGATTTCTCTTCTCCTCCTCCAGTTTGTCACAATTTCAAATTAATCTGGGCATTAGTAATCTGGTTGATTCCCTTTGTATTCTTTATGGTTTAGGAGGAAAAATAGGCTAAATATTAGCCTTTGTATGATATTTATATACAAATAGAAACTGATATGCTTTTACCAACTTATAGTACCAAAAATAGTAAGTGGTACGGTATCCCTGAAATTGAGTTTTAGATTATAATCTGTTTTTACCTCTAAATGATATGAATAATTAGCAGTTTTCATCGTGTAATCTTGTATACTTATTCTCTGAATGTAAGAGAACCACGCTGATCCAGACACATTTATGATCATTTTCTAGGCAAAAAACCATGCAAAGCTGGGACTAAAGGAAGTCAAGAGTAAGCTAAGACACAAGGTACGTCATATTCTTTTTTTTATTCTACCTTGATTCTTATATTAGTTTGAAGCTTATACTTTACAAATCACATGAGATTTTATGTTTTTAATGACTTTTGAAATATGCTTAGCTCTTTGTTCAAGAATGTATTTTTCATAACAAGCCCTCCGGCAGCTATCTGCCGTTCTATATGCACCCACTGAATAATCTTTTTATTATTTGCATATTTTAGCACAGAACTGTGGAGATCTTCAAAGGTGCTTTAACAGGATGTATGTTTTCATGAAGTTGATTGCCTTGATATTGCAATTGAAGTTCTTGCTTTAATCTGAGAGTTTTTTAAAAGTGATGTCTTTGGTGAATTAAGCCAGGAAAGCCATCATTTCATTTTATAGGCTCTTTCTAATAGTAGCTACTTTAAATTGAAGTTGTTTTTAATTTACAAAAGATTGTGTTTGAGGATTTATCTTTACATGTATGAATATTACAGGTATATGAATATGTGTATGTACATGTGTATTTGATTTGATTACACCTTACATCTTTGCAGATTTTATTATCAACTGTTATGCTTTGAATTTTTACCTTTGGAGAGAACATACTATTTAAAACTTCCAGTGTAGTGATGGAGATCAAACTATTTTCATATTATTATTGTTCAAATAATTCAAAGTAGGGCCGGCCCGGTGGCGCACTGCTACAGTGCGCCGCTTGGGAGCGCGACGGCGCTCCTGCCGAGGGTTCGGATCCCACATACAGACCGGTTCCCGCTCACTGGCTGAGCGAGGTTTCTACATATGAGTTTCATTTTATTTTTATAGTAAAGGAAATCTGTGATTTCTTGTTCATCATCAAGCTAATTCAGACTCTATTGCAATCACATATTTAATTGTCTCTCCCCCTCCTTGCACCACGACTTAATAAAGTATATAGAGACTGATCTCTATAACATTTGATTCTCAATCCCCTTGTAGCCTGCCCGGATTCCACCTATTTCTCTCCTTGACCAATACCGCAAGCTTTCTTATCATAAAATAAAAAATTAATGGGTCAAAAATTGTTCCTAAAGAATCCACTGGAATTATATAATTTTAGAACACGGAGGCACAAAGGATAAATAACCTTACCTGGGCAAGCTTACGCTTCTCCAGGTTTCCTCCCTTTTGATCCTGTAATGTGTAAACTGGTGTATATTGTACAGAACCAGAACAAGTCCCATAATCTTCTTCACTTTCCTACACATGAAAGCATACAAGTAATTATTTTAAAATACTCCTTTTATTACTACAATTATTAATTCATATTATATAAAAATGCATTTTCATCCCAAATAGATTTTTTAAACTTACAGCTGAAAAGTTGTTTTGTTATTTGCATGTGTATTAGATACATTGTCTATTAATTAAATAATTGTAGTAATAAAAGGAGTATTTTAAAATAATTACTTGTATGCTTTCATGTGTAGGAAAGTGAAGAAGATTATGGGACTTGTTCTGGTTCTGTACAATATACACCAGTTTACACATTACAGGATCAAAAGGGAGGAAACCTGGAGAAGCGTAAGCTTGCCCAGGTAAGGTTATTTATCCTTTGTGCCTCCGTGTTCTAAAATTATATAATTCCAGTGGATTCTTTAGGAACAATTTTTGACCCATTAATTTTTTATTTTATGATAAGAAAGCTTGCGGTATTGGTCAAGGAGAGAAATAGGTGGAATCCGGGCAGGCTACAAGGGGATTGAGAATCAAATGTTATAGAGATCAGTCTCTATATACTTTATTAAGTCGTGGTGCAAGGAGGGGGAGAGACAATTAAATATATGATTGCAATAGAGTCTGAATTAGCTTGATGATGAACAAGAAATCACAGATTTCCTTTACTATAAAAATAAAATGAAACTCATATGTAGAAATCAGACCATTAAAATAGTCCATAGAAATTAACATGTGAACTATATGTCTTTTTCTAAAGATAGACATTTTATTTTCTATAAATATTTAAAGCTTCTGCTTATATGCTGATTGTACTTAAAATATTGTCCTGAGAAGCAAAGTGTTCAGAATCATAGCTGTAGTGTCTCTGACTTTGTATCATAAGTATGATTCTGAAGTTTTTATTTAATTTTTTGTTTGTTTCTGAAGGTTTTAACCAAACAAAATTTGTACATCAAATTGTATTTTAAGTGGCCTTGGAAAACTAGCTTTAATTTTTTTTTTT